CAGTCCCCGCCTCAGGAAACCCCAGTAGATTTAGTAAAGGTTGTAGTGAAGTCTATGGACACAGACGAGCTTGCCCATGGAGTGCGTGCGCATGCGCGTGTGCAGGGCCTGAGATGAGCCCCGAGGACCCCCAGGCTTAAGGGAGGGCAGAGGAGAGGACTCTGGGAAATGAGCCTGAGCAGGGGCAAGCGGCCAGCAGCAGCGAGCACAGGGGCAGAGGCTCGGGGCGGACGGGTGCGGGCTGAAACAGACCGGCCTTGGCGCTGGCGCGGCGACAGCAGGCTGGTGGCAGACGCGGGCAGCGGCTGCACAGAGGGCCGAGGAGCCGGTGCGCAGGAAGGGAGTGCAGCCCGACGAGACCGCTCAGGAGACCCCTTCTGGGGACAGCGGGAGAGGGAGGAGCAGGCGGCGCGGTGGAGGAATCTGGCCATCTGCAGATGGAAGGGACTTGAACGGATTACCACAGCGATGGGAAGAAGCCCGCAGCAGGAGGAAGAAGCTGCAACACGGGGGTGATGGTGTTTGGGGGTCCAGAGGGAGTGACAAGTCAACTTTGTAGAGAATGAATGACGCTATGTCAGTAATGGCTGTAGAATTTGAGGGCGCAGTGCAAAATGAAAATTCAGGACTTCTTTTTTCAAAAAGCTGAGAATTCGAGATAGTGGGTCTCAGTAGCCAGGTCAGGAGTGGGCAGGCTAAAAACCACAGTCTCAGCAGTCATGTTTCTTCTGGAGACTCCAGGAGAGAACCTGCTTCTTGATTTTTCCAGCTTCTAGTGGTCACCTGCATTCCTGAACCCATGGCTCTTTCTTCCGTCTTTAGAGCCAGCGTCATAGTATCTCCAGATCGCTTAGGATGTGAATTTCTTTGGAGGTCCATTTTTCTACCTACCATGATCCCCACCCCCACCCCCCATGATCTTTAAGGCTGCTTTATAGCTGCAAAAGCAACTCCACAATGGTTTCAACAAAAGCAGGTTTATGGTTTATTAAGAACCCAGAGGTCGATTTGATCACCTGATGAAGTGATCTAGGATGCAGGCTCTTTTCTTCTCCCACTGTGCCATATTCAGAAAACTGTCTTTTATCTCCAGGCTTGTCTCCTCATGATCACAAGATGGCTGCCAAACCACCAGACATTACATCCAAAGCAGAGGAAAGTTGGCAAAGGGGCCTTCAATGCTGCTCTCTTTGATTAAAAAGAACCATCAGCTTGCCGCCCTGTGATTCTATGGTAGAGAGGCAGGACAGACAGACAAGATGTGTTGACCAACTCAAGCTGAATTTACCAGCTAGAAATCAGGAAATGTCAGTTCCTGGATGGGGTGGAGTGTCAGTGAGGGATCCGGGCATCCAGACTCAGAGATCTGTCTATGCCTGGGATCAGTGATTAGTCTGTGGTCAGTGTTATAATCCAGTAATTCTCCATCCGCTAGAAGAAGGAACCTCTCCTGGGTTCCTTGAACCCGAGTTGTTTTTGCAAAAATTCTTGAAGAGGAAGGTATGCATCAGCCATGACCACGAGGGTATTGACCATGAGCTTAACTAATCAGGAGATGCCAGACGGGGCAATGAGGCATTCAAGGCTGGGGTCTAGTAAATGTTAAGAAATATAAAATAAACAACTTGTACAGCTACTAACTGCTGATATCTGCTTCTGTACACATAGCTTGCTTGCTCTGCAAAACTCTTGAGTAACCCCTGTCCTATATAAGCAACCCTCCCCCTGAGCTCGGGGCTGCAGTTCTCCTCTGTGTAGATTGGCTGCAGTCCCTGCACAGGTAATAAAACTCCTAATATTCAAAATTACTTGATGTCTGAGTGAGGATGACTCTCCTGGGTTACAACAGTCAGAGCTAGGGATTAGCATATGCCTGGAATCAGTCTGCAGCCAGCATCACAAATAGGTCCATAGTGTGGGTAAAGAATCAGTCTATGGTTTGAGTCAGAGGTCATTCTGTGGCTGGAGTCAGGTATCAGCCTGCAGCTAGCGTCAGAAGTTTGGTTTAATGTCTTTCTCTCTCTGTACAACCCTGTCTCTCTTGTCTCATTCTCCTCTGGAAGGACCTTTTGGAAGCTCTGAAACCTGCGTCTATAGGGAGGGGAGCAGAGTTGCAGCTTCCTGGTGAAGCTGCCCAGGTGTCCATGCTTTAATGTCTGGCTTCCCTTTTGCTCCTTCCCAATTATTAATAACTAGCTAGTTACAATGATAACAGAAGCAAGCACAGAGAGGTTATATGACTGGCCTTGGAGCACCAGGAGTTCCTAATGTAATTCAACTAAGCCCTTTTCCCAGGTGCTGGACGGGGTGGGGAAGAAATGCGAAGATGAAAGAGAGGGTGGGAATCTCCCAGGCCTGGTTTTCTGGGCTTGACAGGGCACGGGGACTGGACCTGAACCTGAACCTCAAGCTACTGGAACAGAGGCAGGCGCTGGGGCCGGAGCAGGCCACTAGGGGGCAGCAGGGACCGATCTGATGCGGCCTGCCTCTCCACTGGCCAGCTTGTCAATAGACATGATCCGAAAGGATGGGATTTTGAGGAAGCCTTGGCAGGGTCCTGCTGCTGCCAGGTGCTTTAGGTAAGCTAATCACAAGAGCAGCTGGCACCATCGGGCCTTCGCTGATCTTGACATTCGATCCTCACCCCACCACTGTGGGCTGCAGGGTACTTCTCTCATCTGTCTTTGATGGGGATGAAACTGAGGCCCAGAGTGGTCAAGTACCTTTCCCATGGTCACACAGCTCCACTGGCAAAAGCAGGTTCAAAATGAGACAGGATGAAGGTAGAGCCCCTGCTTCTCTGAGTTTCAGTGTTCTCACCTGTAAAAGGAAGTGTAAGGATCTGTGGGGGAGGGGTGGTTAGGAATCAGGGTGCATCATGGGCAAGTCCTACAGAGGTCTCCGCAGCTGTGAGGAGCTGGTGAGGTCATGCCTCTCTTGCTGTATTTTTAAAAATTTAATTAATATCTTTTATAGAAAAAAAATATCAGAGGCTATTCTACAAGATGAAGATAGATCTTCAGAAACATTCATTTGTGACGCCCACATGGAGCCAGGTGCTGGGGCGGAGGATGGGATTTCCGGTGGTTTTCTCTTTTCTATTTATACCTTTAAGTTTTCTCTGAATCGGAGAAGGTTGGCACGTGCCAACCTAGTAATCAGAAAAAAGCAAAAAGTCGGTTTTATGTTAAAAAACAAACAAAAAACTAAAGCACCCCACCCCCCAGGAAAAATCTTTGTAAAGTCCAGGCTGAGGGTGTGCAAAATTGCGGCATGGGGATCCTGAAATCGATGGCTCTGGAGGCCTCCTGGGGATGAGCCAAGGCCCTCCCCAGAGCCCCCCCAGCCCCCTCTGAGCTGCTCCAGCTCCAGCCCAGCCTTGAGGGGCCAAACTGCTCACACCCACCGCCTACTTCCAGCTCAGGCGGGACGGACCTGGGCTGGGCCCACCGGATCCTCTAGACCCGCCCTCGTGGCTCTGGAGACAGACATTTGGTGCAGTCTGTCGCTCCCCTTCTCTCCCTCCATCTTTCTGGTCATTACCTCCCCCCTCCACGCTGAGACAATTAGGTTGTAAGTGAACTAAAGTGATCTACTAGCCCTGCCCTGTCCAATACTGGAATCACTAGCCATGTGTGGCTATTTAAATTTACAGGTCAATTCAAATTTAAAAATTATTTCCTCAGCCACACTAGCCACATTTCAAATGCTTGACAGCCGAACGTGGCTAGTGGCCAGGGTACCGGACAGTGAAACGTTTCCATGGTGAGAAGTTCTGTTGGACAGCACCGTCCCAGACACTCATGTCTTGCTATAAAACCACTTCCTAAAATTGTTCGTTGAACTAAAGTTCTTTTTTTTTTTTTTCTGATTTCCTTCCTGTAAATCTAAAGTAAAACTTTGATCCATGCTCATAATATGAGATGTATTTTTCGTTTAACAATTGCTTCTCAGGGAGTAATTATTTCATAAATATTTGAATGAAGGAGTGAGCCTAGCGTGAAGTCCTGACTGGGAGGACTGGGTAGAAGCCAGAGAGCGTGGGGGACCCGGAGAGGCCAGAAGCTGTGGATTCCCGTGTCACATTAACCAACAGTGGGAGCCTGCAGGGAAGTTTGGAGGAAGCCTGGAGCAGTGGCCTCTCCGGGTCCTCCGGGCTGAGAATTCTAGACTTCTGTGCCCCAAAGACCCTTGGGGTTTCATATCTAATTTGGAGACCAGGGCTTGGGAGGCCAAGGACCAGATTTTAAGGAACATTTCAGAAGGCTTTTGTCAGAGAAATTCCAAGAACTATTCCCATGTGCTAATCAGCTCAGTCCTAGTGGGAGTCACTTTACTCCGGAGTGAGAGTGTCAGCAGTGAGGGTTTTAACCAGGCGCTGGTGTCGGGGGGAAGGTGGGAGGGTGTCCTATTGGAGGAACACTTTCAGGGGCTCCTCTCATTAGCTCCTGCTTATGGGCAGGTTACATTTTGGGATTGGGGAGATTGAAGAGAGACTGGTGTCCATTGGACCATGTTTCTCAGTAAGTGGGGATAAGGTGCATTTAAGCCAAAATATAAATTCTTCACTCCAGCCCCCACTATACCCGACCTTATCCCCACCACTGTCCCTGGTTCACTGTGCTGTAGCTGGTCTTTCTGTGCTGTGAACACGCCCAACTCCATGTGCCTCAGGGCCTTTGTACTAGCTCTACCCTCTGCTCAGAATGCTCTTCCCCTAGTCCATCCTGGCTGCTTCTAGTCACCAAGGGCTCAACTCAGGTCACCTCCTTAAAGACCTCCCTTTAGCTCCCCAAGTCTCAAACCCTACTTTCTTTATAGCACCCATCAGTGTTTGCAGTTTTTCCTTTTGTCTGTTTAATGTCTGTCTCCCCCACGGAACTCTAAGATCCAAGAGGGAAGCACAGTACCTGGCATAGCAGGTGCTCAGTAAACATGGGTGGGGCGTGAGGCTCTCCTGCTACCTGCCTCTCTGCGTCCTCCTTCCCTGTGTTAAGCTGGAGAAGCGGGTTGGGGAAGCAAGAGCAGTGGCCTTTCTCCAGCTTCCCTGAGCCCGGGAGGGTGGGTTTAAATCCAGGTAAGAGATGGGAGGTATCTCTGCATAATTCTCCATTCCAGCTTCCCCAAGCCCGGCCAATTCTGTCATATCAGCCTCAGCTGACAACTCGGGTCTTATAAGATCCCAAGGAGAGAACGATGACTCCGGCCTCCATTCTGTTGGACTTCCAACCCGACTCCTCTCTCCCATTCACATGTATTTTCTGTTTGCTGCTTAATTTTTAAATTGGATTTTCTGAGATGATGCTCAAAGTGGATTAGAGCTGACACTTGAATTGGTGCCATGCTGTACATGAGCTGGCATTCTGTGGGCACTGGGAGCTGTGTGGTCGGGCCTGGCTTCAAAGCCTGACTCCAGGACTTCCTAGCTGTGTGGCCCTAAGCTAAACCTCAACCTCTCTGGACCTGCTTCCTCATCTGTAAAATGTGGGTAACTGGACTGCCTACTAGAGCTGACATAGTGGATATACAGCACCTAGCATATTGCTTGGCTTCAAACAGTTATTTTTGTTTTAAATTATTGCATTTTATTACAAAAGCTCTTGACGGCAAAAGTCCAGAGGGCTGGTTCAGGCCCTGCCATTCACTGTGGCCCTAGCGAGTTCCTTTTCCTCCCTAGAACTAAGTTTCCCATCTGTAAACCACATGTGGGTGGGAAGTGACTTGGACACCTAAAGGGACAGCTTTGGGCTCAGCACAATGGAGACATTTTTAACAAACATTAGGTTCCATGTAAGGTAGTGAGCTCCCCATCACTTCTAGTGCATTGTGTAGAACACCAGAGCAGAAAGGAATATCAAATAGCCAAATCCCTCATTTTGCAACTGTGACAGTCAGGGTAGCTACTCAGGGACACACAGTGATCACAGACAGGAGGTTAAAATCCCCTGCCTGCCTGTCTGAGGCCCACTCCATCACACCATCTGCCTGGATGTCCCAAACGGATCCCCTACAGAGAGCCTGGGTGACAGTCGCTGCCTGGGTTCAGCTACGGCCCTGCCACTAACTAGCTGTGTGATATTGGCAGACTGTAGCAGCAGCTGCTGGTACCCTTGGAAGTGGCCCTCTAACAATGATGGGAGTTGGTGAACAAGCACCCCAGCTGCCCTGCCCCTTTGCAGGGACACCTCTAGGCATGCACTGTGCATGGCTTGCCAGACTTCTGCAGGGTTAAGTGGCGGTTGCCTACACGGGCACTGTCTGCCTCCTGTCCTTCCCTGCCTCACTGCCCCGTGCCCCAAGCAAGGTTTCCTGGGACCACCTCCTTAATGAGCTCATTGCACTTGAATCCCTGTCTCGGGGGAACCCAAGCAGAGCCAACAAGTTACTTAACCCCTTGGGCCTTGGTTCCTCTGGATGGGATGATTCAATGAGTTAACAGAGATAAAACACTCGCGACAGTGCCTGGCAGTGTGTGTTTTTCATAAGTAAAAAAAGAGATAAAGAACCTTTATTTATATAAAACTCTACTCCTTCCCATTCCACCCTCCTCAGCAAATACAAATACCAGGTTTAAAACAACTTTTGCGACGTGTACAAACAAACATTACTCAGCGGGAGATCTGGGCCAAAATGCAGGTGAATGTGCCTGGTGGCGTCTGGAGTGCCCAGCTCAGCGCATCACAGGCAGGAAGCTGTCCCTCTGGTCTGGGGCTGCCAGCAATGGTGACCACGGCACAGACTGGCCCCACGGCAGCTGGGGGTGTCTATTCTGGGGACCGGGCTTCACAGGGGCCCCCCGTCTTACAGCCTTGTAGGAATCTGCCAGCAAAGTGTCACTGCTTGGTAGTCCCCATTTCGTGTGCTTCTGTGACCCCACTGACTAAGCCCCTCCACAGCCCAGATCCCGCCTCCAGTGTCGACCTCCTGAAGCCCTGTTGAGTGAACGGCACCTCTGGGCAAATAACTACCCTTCCAGGACCTCCATTTCCCACCAGTTTCCCAAGGCCCCCCAATGTGTCCCCTGTTGGCTTGGTTAGTTTCTAGGCTCAGCGTCCAAGCCAGCAACATGGCAACAGCGAGTCCCGGGGCTGGGCAAGACACGGGCAACCGAGTGACAAGGTGGACAAACGTGCCTTCGGCGGGCATGACAGGGACAGTACGCTGGAGAAGCTGCGGACCGATCAAGTGGCCAACGGCTCGTTCATCAGCCAAGGTGCCCAGGAACGTCCGGATCCCTGCAGGTGACTGCTGTGGGCACCCGCCCGGCGCCCGCCCCTCCCACGGCACGTGCTGAGCTCGGGTCCGTGTTGAGAATGCGGAGCCAGTCTCTGCAGCCCCCGTGTCTGACCACCTCCCTCCACACCACGCTCCCCGAGTCTCGGAAATCCGCCGCCTGGCTGCCTTCCGGGCGGCATTTCTCGCGCACGGGTAGGGCACTCGGCAGCGAGCGGGCACACACCTAGGAGGCACTCACGCAGGGGGCCCTGTGGAGAGCACGGCCACCATTGCGGGGGCCTGGCTTGAGCCCTGCGCATTGCTGGGGCCAGGCTGGAAGGACAGGGAGGACTTGCCCCCGTCTGAGCCACCCAGGGAGGCCGGGAGGCTGGCCTCCAGTGGAACCGCCCCTGGGAGGGGGCTCACGGGGGACTCACACCTGTCTCCACAACAGCAGCCACAGCAGCGCGTGGCCTCAGCGTGGGCCTCGCCACGCTCCTCCTGGCCGTGACACTGCTTCAGGTGGCCGCACAGGTGGCAGGTGAGGGCTGAGTAGACAATGCCGCTGCCCAGGTCGTCCCCGAGGGGGCCCGAGGCCTGCTCCCGGGAGAGCGGGGGCTTCTGGCTGTCCTCTCCCTTTGCCCCTGGCTCCAGAGCGGGGCACCCCGGGGAGCTGCCTGGGGGCAGTGCGCGCTGAGGGCCGTGCGGCTCCAGGTCCAGCCCAAAGGTGAACAGGGGCACAGGGGCAGGGACCCCAGGGCAGCCAGAAGGGAGGCTCCGGAAGGGCTTGTAGCAGCCCTCGCCGCTGCTGGCCTCAGCCCCTGATGTCCCTGGGCGGAGGGCACCGCTGGGCAGCAGGCTGGAGAAGGCCTTGTACCCGGCCTCCCCGCCGCCCTGGGCGCCCTGCCTCACCGCCTGCGCGAACTGCCGGTAGCCGCTGCTGGGGGCCGCGGCGGGCCCCCCGGCTGCCCCGTGCTGGTGCTGGAGGACGCTCCGGCGGAGGACCTGCTCCCAGCTTTCTGGCTCAGGCGCGAGCGCAGCGGGTGGCTCAGAGGGCTGGGGGGCAGAGAGCATGTCGGGGTCCCCGTCTCCCAGGCCTTCGGCCAGCTGTGGGTCTGAGTCGAGCTCCCCAGGACCTGAGCACTGGCTCAGCACGCTGCTGAAGCTGCGGTAGAAGGGGTTGTCTGTGACGATGACCGCGGGCGGCTGTGTGGGAGCCAGGCAGGCTGGGCTCCCCGTCAGCGTGGCTGCAGGGGTGCACTCTGGGCTCAGCAGCTGCTCCGGGCCCTGAAGGGCTGCCTCCTGGGGCTCCGCGCTTGGTAGCTCAGCCCAAGGCATCTGAGCACTCACACTTTCTGAAGGTGGAAGAAGGCAGGACTCCCCCAAGCCTGGTGGGCAAAAGTCCCCATTCTCACCCCCGAGAAGGTCCAGGAACAGGCTCTCTGTCAGCCGGGCCACGATGCCCTCCCTGCTGTCCTGGAAGCCGCCCCTGCTGCTCTCAGGAGAGGAGCAGAAGCTCCCTTGGTCTTCCTCCACGTCCTCCTCCTCCTCACACTCCACCTCCACCGGGGCCTCTGACAGCTCCACGCACTTCACCACGCTGATGCTCTCGGGCCACAGGATCGTCCTGCTGACCTCCACGGGGCGCCACGCTGACTTTCCAGGAGCCTGGACGGGCCCGCTCCGGGCGTCCTTGAAGGAACTGTCCTCCTTCCCCACGCCATGCTCCAGGAGACAGGGCAGCAGCTTGGTGAGACAGGTCTTCCAGTGTCTGCAGAGCAAAGTTTGGTCAGATTCAGCGTCTCCACTTGAAACGCTCCTATTCATCCTTCAAAATCCAGCTTGAAGTCACCCTAGACTGCTGTCTACCTATTGCAGACATGCTTCCTGACTTTATAATCAACAATTGGTCAGCCTATCCCACTGCGACCCTGGAGCTCCCTGAAGGCAGGCCCGTCTGGGATGTCTGCAGCTTAGCACATAACCTGGTACCGACTAGAAACCCAGCCTTTGGATGGATGCGTCTTTGTCAGCGATGATAGGGTTTAAAATACTCGTCAACACTCAGCACAAGGAATGACAGGATGGCTGTGGGGTCCTCGGGCTCCCAGGCCCTGAAGTCCCCGCTGGGCCAGGTGTAAACCCCTTAGTCCTGCTCTGGAGGCCCGGGGGCCGGAGGGAGGAGCTTAGGAGGCGGCACACTCAGGGTCAGGGCAGTGCTGTCTGCCAACCAGCCGACTCTGCCAGCCCCTCTCAGGCAGGGCCCTCCCAGGGGGTTCAGCATGTGCCCGACCCACCCAGGAAACTCAGGGCCTCAGCCAGCAGCCCGCCTACCCAGACCACTCCTCCTGCGGCCCTCGAAGGAAAAGTGCTGACGCCAAGGAAGGGAAGGCAGACACGGAGGCTGTGGGGCCCCACTCTGCCCTCCACGCCAGTGCCACCCCTCCAAGCCCACAGAGGCTGTGACCGAAGTTCATGTACATACGGGCACTTGGCTGGTTCCTGGCCTCCGGACCTCCTCCTCCACAGGGACACCTGAAACACAGAGCAGCCAGTGAACAGAGCGGAGAGGCCTTCCCGGCCAGCCTGGCCACAGCGGTGCGCAGTATTCGCTGTGGGAAGACCTAGGCCTGGACGTCACACGGGTCTGAGGTCACACGAGGCCACTTCAGCTCCCGGAGCCTCAGTCCTAGGCATGAGTGAGATCACTTAATATCAAGTTGCCGTGGCCGATGGCAAAATGGCCTGGCCTTGTGACTTGCTTTGGGCAACAGAATGTGGCATGCGTGACACTGTGCCAACTGGCCCAGCTGCGGGAGGGTGAGACGCATGGCTCAGTCACCTGCATTGCCCAGGTGAGGGTCAGACAGCGGCCGGACCTGAGTGAAGCCATGGGGACGAGCCAGCCCAGCCCCGCACCCAACCCACTGCTGGGCCCACCTGCAGAAGCCAGGGCCACAGAGATGGCTGCAGTTCCAGCCAAGCTTCGGGGTCCCTGGCTACACAGCTAAGCTGACTGGTACGTGAACGGCACTTAGGACGTGCAGGGCCCCGCGGTGTACACTCTACATGCAGTGTCTCGGTGAATTCCCACGGCGGCCCTGTTGCATGAACACTACTCCAACCCACGAGAACACCGAGGCTCAGAGCAGTTGAGCCACTTGCTCGAGTCCACTCTGCAGGCAAGTGGCAGAGCCAGGGTTCGAGTCAGCACCGCCGGGCTCCAGAGCCTGCCAGCCTGCCAGAGGGTCCCTGGAGAACTGGGAACGCTCAGACTTCTAGACAGGACCTGCCCCCCCCCCCCCCCCGAGCCCTGAGCAGCTCAGGCCCGCCCCGGGTGGCCATCGCACGGGAAACGCTGCCCCCCCCTCGGATGCCACCTGGCTGCACTCAGGGCATCCCCGCCCCTCACGCTGAGTGGTTTAGGCAACAGCACGTGATGTAACTCGGGCCAGTGAGAAACGAGATTTGCTGGCGCTTTGGTGACAGTTTCCTGCTCGTAGGAGGAAGACACAGGACCTGTGTCCCCCTCTCCCTCGCCTTTTGGCCTCCTGCCCGGGTACAGACATGCAGATGACCTCAGGGGTCGTCTCCTCCAAGGGAGGGAACCCACCGAAGGCTGAAGAAGTGGCTATGAAAGCCGAGGGAGGGGCGGGAAGCCCCTGGGCTCCTGGTGACCACAGCGAGCTGCGGAACAGCCGACCGAGACCTTCCTGATGGCTCGGTGCGGCTCCAGAGGCCAGTGACTGTCCTCAACACCCCAGACGGCTGACTGTCCCGTAGGTGCAGTCCGAAGCGGCCGACCCACCCTCCTACCTGAGACTCCTGGATGACGACAGCCACGAGGGGGCTGTGGGCCGGGTTGGGGATCTGGTCCCACCAGTCTTTCTTAATCCTGGAAAAGAAAGGACAGCGTGCTGGTCTCTCCGCCGTCAGTCCTCACAGCAGGGGCCTGGGGCCAGGGCGGTTCGGGGGTCTCTCCCTCGGCCCGGGAGCAGGCTCTGCTGCCGACCCGTCACAGCGGGGCAGACGGAGGCTCCGAGGGGAGAAGGGACAGCGGGGAGGAGAAGGGACAGGCAGAGGAGCCGGCTGTGCCCAGCATCGCTGCCCTCGCCGCTCCGTCCTCAGTGGGAACAAGCCCAGGGGGTGGGAGAGACTCACCCTGCAGAGGACTCTGGGTGTCCCCAGCAACAATCCCCTCCATGGAGCACCCGCAAGGAAGGGGCAGGGAGAGGCCTCGTGGCCCGAGAGGCTGAGGGAACCCGGGGGAAACAGCTTCCTTCCCTCTCCCTGGTCGGCCCGGAGCCATGTGTCAGCTCTGAGGCCGGGTCCGCAGATTCCCCTGGAGGGGCCTCTGCGGACTCCACTCAGTCAGGCAACGTGTCTGCACTGAGCACCTGCTACGTACCACTCGCCGTGCCAGGCCTGGGGACACAGCGGTGAGCCAGGCACGAGCCCTGCCCTCACAGAGCTGACCCTCTAGAAGAGGAGACAGACAGCTACAGAAATGGTTATATGACATTAATCACGGCGTTAAGTGCCATGAGTAAAAATACAGAAGACAAGGGAATAGAGAGGAATGGGGGTGTGATCCAGGAGGGCCTCCCTGAGGAGGTGACCTCTGCGTGGCACTGGAGGTGGAAGAGGAGTCGCGGTGACGCTGGGGAAGGGCTTCCAGGGAGGGGCACAGTGAGTGCAGGGCTGAGGGAACCGCTGGGCGCCAGGAGCAGCACGAGGCTGGAGTGCCGGGACACTGAGCGGGCTGCAAGGACAGGCGATGGGAACCTGAGGCTCAGAGAGGGGAAGACCAGCCCGGGTGCCGAGGAGGAGGCGGTGACGAGACATGGAGAGGAAAACTTGCAACCCTTGCACACAATGTGTGCCCAGCAGAGTGCGGGACACTCAGTGGATCCTCAGCCATCACTAATGTCCACATGGCGAGGCGACGCTCGCTGGTCCCATTTCAGAGCTGGGGGACTGAGCTTGGAGACACCGAGTTTCCTAGGGCTCAGGCTCACTGGCAAGCAGGCTCTTTATACCCACTGTGACCCCAGAGTCTTAGGACTCAGGACGGACGACATTGTTCTCACCGTATCTCAGCCTGCAAAGGAGGAACCCAAGGCTGCCGGTCACGCAGCTACCAAGTGCCCGAGCGGAATCCGAACCCATGTCTGCTGACTCTGTCAGGTCAATTGTCTAGATTTCCTCGGTCTGGTCTGCTGTCAGGTGCCCCACTGTCTGGACCACACCCTGGGCATGATCCCTCTCCCTCTGCCAAGGGAAGGCCCTGCCCCAGCTCTACCCTGGCCAGCTCACTCCCCCAGTCAGGTCTCAGCTCAAATACCACCTCCTCCCCACCTAAAGCAGCACCCTGGAACATCCCTGCCCTGTGCCCGGGCGTAGTTCCCTCAGCGCGTGGATGGCTGTGGGAAACGGCCGTGGCTGTCTGTGGACCTGGCAGCTGTCTCCACGAGGCACGGGGTCCTTGTCTGTTTTGTTGCAGCTGGTGCCTCAGTGTCTCGCACAGAGTAGCTGCTCAATAAACATTTACTGTCGAACGAAGGACTGCAAGCTGACAGATGAGAGGAGGGACTCCTGCCCACTCTGTACCCCAAAGGGGCTGGCCCAGGACTCACTTGATGATGCTCCAATAGCAGGACAGGCAGATGACCACGATGATGATGCAGGAGATGCTGAGGGCAAGCGGGAGGTGCTGCTCCCAGGGCCACACATAGTCTGCAAGTGGGAGGGAAGCCATGAGCCGGCACGGTGCTAGGAACAGCCTGGTCTCCCCTTCCCAGAGCTGAGACCGATGCCTCAGGAAAGGGTCCTCCCAGACCCTGCGCGATCTGCAACCACCAAGCCCTCCCGCCTCCCCCCCTCCTGCCCTCCCCCTTGCACACTGAGCCCTCGCCACACTGGCCCACTCGCTGTCCCCTGCTCCTCCAAAGCTAGTGCCACCTCAGGATTTTGAACCTGCTGCTCTTTCCTGAAGAAGACTGAGACTCTACCTGAGCTCAAAGCCATATCCTCACTGTGACCCAGGACACGCCCCTTGCTCTGAGCCTCGGTTTCCGCATCGGTACAGTGGGGCTAACAACAGCACTGTCTCCTAGGGCTGTTGTGAGGACGACACGGTTCACCACCCACGGCACTCAGAACAGAGCCGGCACGTCCACAAGCACGTGCTGTTACCACCTTCGCCAGCTGCCTCTCCGCGTCCACTTCACTCTCGCCAGCTCCAGAAATGCCCCGCACCCTGTCCCCTGCTGCCCGTCTCCTCGCGTCCCCTTGCCCTGCGTACTCTCTCCCAGGCTGACCGCCTGCGGGCCTGGAGCTCCGACTCCCTTCTCCGTGCTCTGTTTATCCCCCCGGTGGGTTCCACAGCAGCAGGGACTCCCGTCCCCCGTTCACTGCTGATTCCCCGGGTCCACATGGGGCCGGGCACAGAGCAGGAGCTCAGTGAATATTTGCAGAAATAACGAGTGGGTGTTCAGCACATAGTATACGTTCCCTGCAAGCTGTTTCTCTCTCTTGCCCTTCCCTTCCCCAGGTCAATGATAGAATCAAATCAACTCAAAACTCTCGCGGGGACTTACTGTGTGCCTGGCCCTGTCCTGGGCACTGGAGACACAGACAGAGGGTAGATACTACCCACGGAGCTCACAGTCCAGCGTGGGAGACAGGTGGGTGAAGAGACACCCAGGAGCAGGTGAGGGATGCTGAGAGGGACGAGGGGTGGGCGGGGTCGGAGCACCTGCCAAGCACCACGGCGCCAGCACTGTGAACAGTCCTCCTCCCGCTGCACAGGCGATGCCTGAGGCAGCCTCCCCTCCCCCATCTCCACGTCTTCTTTGCTGGGTGGCAACGTGCCCACCCTGAGGTTTGGGCCAATCACAATTGTCCTAGAACCCTGTCCTGACATTTGAGTCCCCAGCCTCCGATACAGGTGGGAGAGGCCATGTGACAGTCTGGCCAATGCCATGAAGGGGAAGTCTGCTGGGAAGCTTCTGGAAAGATTTTCTTGCTTCCTGATAAAAGAGAGAGATGCACAAGGTGCATTCCTTTGTGGCCACCTTTCATTACCTTTGCTTCCTGGGGTCTGAGGGTGGGCAGCAGTCAATGTAGGGCCAGGAGGTGACAAATCTAAAGGAAAAACAGCACTGTGCTCAGGAAGGCAAGACTCCAGGGTGACATCACCGCGCTGCTGTATAAACCTGGGAAGGTCCACTGGTGAGACTTCGTTTTACTTGAGATAATTCAGTATTTCTATTGCAAAAGCCATGTGATAAAATTGCAAACAGTTGTTTTGGGGGGGGATACAGCTAACAAATGAAGGACTACATTTCCCAGAATCCCTTGCAGGCCAGTTTCACCAACAGAACTTGAGAGGAAGTGGTATGTGTCACTTCCAGGCTAAGGCTGGCTGGATGCAGACAATGGCAGGGTCCTTAGAGATTCTTAACCTGGGGTCCACAGACCTCCAACCAGGTTGCCGACAGGATCCTGAGGTCTAAGACTTGGATGGGAAAGAAATGACATCCTTATTTTCACTAACTTCTGACACCTAGCACTTCCTCCCATTAGGAGTGAAGGGAGCAAACCACAGTGCGAGCAGCATCGGTCACTCGGCTCCCACAGGACACAGCTCCTCTCCTATCGCCACAGCTGCCAGGTCACGAGATGTCATTATCCTCGTCTACTTTGAAATTACAGTATTTATGAGAACTACCGCTAGATCTTGTTTCTAGTGTGTTAACAGAGACATGTATTCCTAGATAACACATTTTAAAATATGTTATAACTGCATTTCAATAATTTTAATTTCCTTTGTAATGCTCCATATTTTGTTTAATACCTCTGAAAATATTACTCTGAATGGGGTGCGCAGGCTTCACCAGACTGCCAAGGGGTCCATGATACGAAAGGTTAATCGTCCTTGCCCTAGAGAGGCACGGAGCAGCGAGAGGCAAACCACCCACAGACCAGCCAGGCTCTGGTTGGGTTGTTACAAGAGCAAGAAATACATTTCTCCGGTGTTAAAGCGCAGGTCTCGCGGGCTTCTCTGTCCCTGCAGCCTGGCCGGCCTGCCCTGGCCAGGACGCCATGCTGTCTGTACGCTTACCACAGTACAGGCATCCTCGGACATGGAAACCCAGAAGCTCGGCCAGGGGAAGTGTCTGGCCACAGAGTGAAAGTGGGGAGGAAAGATGCCCAACACCCACGATAGATACTCACAGTTAAACCACTTGACGCTGGGGCTCCACTCACTCCACGTGCTGTTGTAGATCTGAGCCCAGGCCCTCACCCGTGCGCTGTAGAAAGTCCAAGGCTTTAGGATGCTGGCTGAGAAGCGGAGGGTGGGCTCCATGTAGGTCACATTATTCACTGTGAACTGGGGGAAGAAAGGAAGACATTACTGCACCAGCTGGGGGAGTGCCAGCTCCCACCTGGCTGCTGTCCTTAGCTGACTCCACAGTGTTTAAGAGCCACCAGATTGTCCAGCTGGTGTGGCTCAGTGGTTGAGCTTCGACTCATGCACCGAGAGGTCACCGGTTCAATTCTCGGTCAGGACACATGCCCAGGTTGTGGGCCTGATCTCCAGTGGAGGGCATGCAGGAGGCGGCCAGTTGATGTTCTCTCTCATCGATGTTTCTATCTCTCTCTCCCTCTCCCTTCCTCTCTCTCTGTAATCAATAAAGGAAAAAAAGAAAGAAAGAAAAGATTTTAAAGAAAGAGCCACCAGACTGGCCCTGGTCAGGTAGCTCAGTTGTTTAGAGTGTTGTCCCTATATGCCAAGGTTGTGGGTTTGATCCCCGGTCAGGGCACATACAAGAATCAACCAATGAATGCATAAACAGAACACCAAATCGATGTTTCTCTCTCTCTTTCTCTAATAAGTTAAAAAAATAAGAAGAGCCACCAGCCTGGGTATTCGGTTATTCCTTCAACTCGGATATCGTTTGCCACCTTCATAACTAGGACCAGACTCAAGCGAGATGGGCCAGGAAACGGGCCCTTCCCCACCCCCCCTGACTAGCCATGTGACATGGCTGGGGCAAGTGGATTAACTTTTCTGAGTTTTCGTTTCCTCGCCTGTAAATTGAGGGTACAGGTCCCTACTGTCACTTTCTGGCTGTGTGACCTTAGGTAAGTGACATAACCTCTGTGGACCTCGATGTCCTCGTCTGCAAAATGGCGGTAATAAAAGCGCCCACCTCACCGGGTTGTTGTGAGGAGTAAGTGGGCTCAGGGGACAAGCACCTAGGATGGGGCCTGGCATGCAGGGAGCACGAGGTGACCTTTCCGAAGCGCAATGGAGTCAGAGCCCCTCTCTCTCCTTCCCGGGCTCTCTAGAGCCCCCGCAACCCAGCCCAAACTCACTGGCCTCGAACCTCAGCCCCGCCCAACCCAGCCCCCGCTGGGAAGAGACCCAGAATCTGCTGTTAAGTGGAAAAGGTAAGATGACGATGAGTATGTGTTGTCTGCTGCCTTTTGTGTTTAAAAAACACATCCCCATGTCACAGGTGCAAAAACTGAGGCACAAGGAGGTTAAGTGACTTGCTCAAGATCACACAGTTGGCAAGTGGCAGGGCAGGTACTGGAACCCAGTTCTGGGGGACGCCAGGCCCGTGTGTACAGAGTTCCTTCCATGGGAATGTTCGAGGGGCAAACATGGTGGTACGAAGTAACCCCCACGCCCACCTGCATAAAACACGGGGACCAGCCAGCATTGTGTCCAGCCTGCTAGTATCTATTCTACCTGAATGGACAAATCTGCACTGCCGTGCAATGTCGGTACGCTCACTTAGAAAGGAAGCCCTGTCTCTGCTGCGCCTGCAGAGAAGTATCAGATGCCCCGAGTGTCACGTAAAAGGAATCTCAGTCAGGCCCAGCGAGGGCATTAAACTATGGGTGAGCCTGTCTCCTGGGGCAAGGCTCTGAGCCTCGGCCTCCTCTCTGTTACAACCAAGGACCAGTAAGCCTGTCAGCCCAGCTGAGACGCCTTCCCTCACCAGTCAGGTCGAGAGGGAGATGATGCTGAGGGAGCATCTCACGCTGGGACTCAGTCGTTTGAGTGTGTTCCCCAAATCTCAGTGTCCCTCCGGGCCCTCAGGAAACACAGCTGTGGCCCAGTGCCTCCTTTACAGCGGGGAGCAGGGCCCAGAAATCATACCCCTTCTCTCTCCCTGGGCATCGGGCGAGGGGTGGAGGGGCAGAAGCTGGGACTCCAGGTCCCCAGGGATGCTGGCAGCCTGGGTGTCCTCTCTGTCTCCCACCCCGGAGCCGGGGTCTCCACCCACCCGAGTCCCAGGAGGTGGAGCAGAATCCCCGCAGTGCCCACTCACCTCTGAGGGGTCGTCTTCATTTGAAATGTTGACCTGGTAGGAGAGCTCATCGTACAGGAAATTCTCAGGAGGGTATGGGTTGCTCCAGGTCAGCTGCCACATGTGGGAGTCGTTGGAAGCAACTGTGAGGTTTCCAGGGGCCATGGGTTTCACTGTGGAGAAGCGGTGTCTGGTGAGGGCTTGTCGCCCACGCCCCGGGCCATTGAGGTGTTTAGTCAACACCACCTCCACATACATGTGTAAGGCCACGTAGATTCAGACTCGTAACAGAGTCCACTTGGCACCACAGTGGTTACTAACTTCCTTTCTCCAGTGAACGCAAAATGTATAAGCCAAAGTAACCCAAACTTCCTCGTTGTCACTTCATACTTTTGGCCACATCTGTGTGCTGTTTTACTAAGTATTTTTCTTTATTTTGATCCGTGTGTTTAAAAACATAGTCTCTTTTTAAGTCATCATATCAGTGAGAGCACAAGTATATGATATGCATTAAAATCAACAAACACATGTGAGAATTATTTTAATTCACGTGTTTGTTCATGGGTCAATTTAAATAACCCTGGACCACCAGCAGGATGAGCAGGCCCTTCAGGAACTGCTGATGGAGTGGTGAAGGCTGTGAAGTCTGGGAGAGATTGCTGCTCCTGCTTAGCAGCTGTGTGACCTTAGGCAGGTTACTTGCCTTCTCTGTACTACAGTTTATTCAATTGCAAAATGGGGATAAGAACTCTCTTCTGAAAACTGAGGCTCAGAGAGGTAATGTGACTTGCCCAAGGTCACACAGCAATAAATGGTGTTTTAAACTCCTGTCACAACACCCTGGGGAATGCCTGCAGGGACTCTGGGTAGCAGGATAAGGTCAGCCTTCCGTAGTCCAGACTGTCTGAAGCGGTCGGCAGAGGGAAGAAGGACGGTCCCAGCTCAGTTTCTGATCTGCAGCAAGCAGGCCTTCCATCCAACAGGCCTGCTCAACACCCCAACCAGGGGCCTCACATTCAGGGGGTTGAAATATCTGAACTGAAGGGGCCTGATGTACTGCTGAGCTCAACCCCATTTCAAAGATGAGAGGTCTAAGGCTCAGATAAAGGCAAGAACCCCATCACATTTAAGACAAGGTAAGAGGCTGCTTGGGCCTCCCTCCCCAAAATGGACCCTGCCTCCCCTGCCCCAGGACCCAGCCGGCTTCTTTGGGACCGCCTGCCCCACCCCACTCACCATGCTTGCTGGGCTGGAAGGAACCGGTCCACAACTGCTGCTTCCCAGCCCACAGGTCCAGCTGGTAGATGTCCACGCTGGCCACGTTATCCATCAGCATGTTGCACAGGCACACAGTGCTTTCCCTATTCTCAGGGACACACGTGCCGTTTCTGCAGACACGGTGCTGTGTTAGGCTGGCCATGCACCCTTGGGTGTCCCCCGTACACGCCTCAAGGAACCACATGCTCCTCCAGTACCTGGTCGCCCTGCCTCAGGGGACTGCTGCTCAGGGGACTGGGCAGCAGAGCGGTCAGGGTGCCTGGTGGGGACAGTGGACGAGGACTGCCTTCCCTGCTGGCCATAGCCCGGCACCATGCCCACAAGGCCTCCCACACCCCTGGCCGCAGCGTGGTCCCAGGACTCCGCTCATCCCTAAGGGCCAGTGACAGGGAAGAATCCGGCTCGACGACTCTAACAGCAGGTGCGCTGCACACCTCTGGGAGCACGGCTTCTCCCAGGGCAGAGTGACCCCCACGTGCCTCCCGAACAGCCAACGGCGGCCGTGGGCTCGGCCGGGCAAACGATTTCTGTAGAGGCCCAGACAGCAGGCCTCTGGGCTCCGCGAGCCGGGCTGCTCCCGGGGACTACAGGGCTCCGCGGGCTCGGGGAGGCCCAGACAGCAGGCCTCTGGGCCCTGCGAGCCGGGCTGCTCCGGGGACTACAGGGCTCCGCGGGCTCGGGGAGGCCCAGACAGCAGGCCTCTGGGCTCCGCGAGCCGGGCTGCTCCGGGGACTACAGGGCTCTGCGGGCTCGGGGAGGCCCAGACAGCAGGCCTCTGGGCTCCGCGAGCCGGGCTGCTCCGGGGACTACAGGGCTCCGCGGGCTCGGGGAGGCCCAGACAGCAGGCATCTGGGCTCCGTCGAGGGTCCGCGGGCTGGGGAGGCCCAGACAGCAGGCCTCTGGGCTCCGCGAGCCGGGCTGCTCCGGGGACTACAGGGCTCCGCGGGCTCGGGGAGGCCCAGACAGCAGGCCTCTGGGCTCCGCGAGCCGGGCTGCTCCCGGGGACTACAGGGCTCCGCGGCTCGCAGGAAGGCAGCGCAGACCCCGCCGGCGGGCTGGCCACGTGCCAGCAGCACTAGTTTACAAAGCAGGGTGGGCCCAGGGGCCTCACGGGCGGTTCTCCTGCTCCGGTCTCGGCCCACGTGCCACGGGGGAAGCACAGCACGCGGAGGGCCGCCTGGGGGCGCCTGCACTCTGCCGTCGAGGGTGCCCCGCGCCTGCGCACCGCGCCGGCCAAGTCCGGCCCCCGGGCCATCCCAGCGAGCCACAGGGGACGTGTGCGCTCCCCGCTGACCCTGCACCCCAACACTGCTGGCTCATGTCCCGAGGTCCCTGAGTGCGGTCTGAGGACCCACAGGCCAGCCGGTTCACAGCGCCCCGGGGCGCTCGCCACGGCCCTCTCTCCCGCAAGCGGACAGAGCAGTTTCCCAGGGCCACGTGGCAGGTACGTCACTGCTCTGAAGGCCTGTGTGCTGCTGTTATTTACATTTTCTGTTTGAATTCCTGAGAGAGTAAATATCCATAGCTATAGGCTACCCAGACAAAAGCTTTCGGGGTCCTCGCTGATGTTTAAGCATGAAGAGTCCTGAGACTAAATGCTTGAGACCCTATGTTCTGGTCTGATACTCCGCCAGCATCCGGATGCCACACGGCTGGCTGGGTGACAGTGTGCTCGGAGCATCATGCCATTCCCACTGTATGACACGCACTGCTCCCTGGGCACCCTGGCTCGAACCCTGTGCCCGGTAAGTGCAGTGAATGGCATTTAGCACCAGGCACCCCAGGGCACCACTCCAGGGGAACCCCTAGGGCCGACCTCCCTGCTCCAGCACAGGCTTACTCAGAGATTAGAAAATCCAGCTGATAGGTCAGGCGGAGCTCGGCGCTGCAGTTGGTGGGGCCGCTCATCCTCCACTCACAGGTGGAGGTGCTGATGTAGTCGGAGAAGCAGGTGGGCGGATGCCGGACCCTGACACACCCTGAGGAGACAGGAGCGCTCTGAGCAGCTGGAGCCCAGCTGGAACGAGGGCCCTGCGCCCCTGGACAGGTGGAAACCAGCCAGAACAGGACCAAGGGCCATCACAAACAGGGAATCCACAGTCCCAGGACCAGTCACGGGCCAGTCTTCACAGAGCCGGCCAGGACCCGGGCTCCTGGAGCCTCCCAGCTGGCACTGATGGGGTTCCTGAAGCTGAAGAAGTACCCTGGGTGCAGGGTCCATTGAGGGCATACCCCAAATGCACCTTTACGTCATGCAGCTCCCCTACTTCCCTGGTCAAATTAAAGGAAAAATACGTGGCAGTCTGAGGAGTCTACCCACCAACAGGCGTGTGCTCTGCAGGCGTGTGCCAGGTAGGCTGTCTCCCGGCGCCACACCAGCCTCCTTTGGTTCCTCCAACACTCCAGGCAGGCTCTCGGCTCAGGGCCACTGAGACCGCCCCATCCCCGATATCTGCATGGCTCCCCATTCCTTCAAGTCTTGGCTTGATTGCCTGGGACTTCCCTGACATATACTGTGTTTTAAATAGCAACCCTCCACTCCACCCAGCTCTCAGCCCTCCCTGCTGTTCCATACTGTCTTTTCCCATCACCTTCAACAATCCTTAGACTTATAACTAGGGCCATCTGTCATTGGCTGTCTCCTCCCACTCAGTATAATCTCTTCAAGGACAGGAATCTTTGTTTTCTTCACTGAGCCTCGAAGGTAGTCAATACATGTTTGCTGAATGAATGAATGAATGAATGAATGAGAGGTGGTGACTTACCAGAGTCTGCCGCCCACACCAGGATCAGGCAGCTCACAGGGAACGTGAACCCAGAGCCAAGCCACCCCATTGGGAGATCCTAAGGCACCTGCTGAGAGAAAATGAGCCAGGTTAGTGCTGACTCATGGTCCCCGTCGTCCCAATCATCCCAAGTGCAGCCTTCAGAACTCACCTTACTCCAGACACCACTGTCCCCTGCCCTGCTCGTTTGTATTTCTGCCAACAATGAGCCCTCCATGTTCACCAGAGATCTGTTTATGATCACAGAACCCAACCCAAAGCCCAAAATGAGAGCCATTCAAGATGCTTCGTGAAAAAAGTACCTGAGTTTGAGCATCCCTCAGACTTTTGGAAGTTCATAATGCACACTTGGATGTAAAGGTTCTGATAAATCTTTCAGTAAGGAAATGTATTTTTCTTCATTTAACCCAACACTCACCAAATTTATTTCCATCCTCAACCTTCACTTTTTATGTGTGTGCCAAAACCCCAATTAATCCCCTGAGGATTTATAATTTCTTGAAATATAGTTTGGAAATGCTACCCTAACTGTTCAACCTTACAGAGCTGGTTAAATACATGACGGTATACTCATACAATGAATTATTAGGAGGCCACTAGAAATGATGCTGTTGAGTGTTAGACTGACCACACTGATGGCCCCAATTCTTCCCTCCTGTGTCCATGTAACCTTGCAGTGCTCCTCCGCCCCCACCACTCTGGGCGAGCGTTCTCCCTGCATTTGGACTCGGGGCTCACCACGTGACTAGCTTTGGCCAGCACAATACTAGCCAAAGTGAGGCATGTAGAGGTCTGCTTGGCACGACCACTGCCTTGAGAACGTGCCTGGCCTCGCCCTTTGGAGGATGGCGACAGGCAAGTCCCAGCCGGCTCCTTCTGCATTAGGCAACAGGCAGCTGGCCCTGTCCTCCGAGTGAGCTCACGCATCGGCAGGGCTGGCAGCTGACCTGAGCTGACCGCAGAGGCACGAGTGAGCCCACGAGGTCAGCCACGTCCAGAAGGCTGACGCCCGCACCCTCAGCGAAGTGAGTGTCCCTTCGTGGCACTGAGGCTCTGTGCTTGTTTGTTATGCAGCATTGTTACTGCTCCCCGTCATCCCCCTCACTTCTAACCCCTCCGAGGACCCTGCTGTTTTGTAGTCCATATCAGTGAACTCATGTGCCACCCTTATTGTATTCGCGACATCCCCCAAGACGTGATTGGGGAAGAAAAATTAGAAGGTACAGATACCCAAAAAGAAAACACAGTTAAAACTCCCCAAATCACAAGGCCCAGCAATAACCCCACTCATATTAATATCTATTCTCTCAGAAGTTGCTATGAATATAGGGAGACAGATATAAATTTTATTTACCAAAAGTGCAGCACCTTCTACAAAAACTTACATTTTATTTTTTTAAAGATATTTAATTTTTTTCTTTATTGATTTTAGAGAGCGAGGAAGGGAGAGGGAGAGAGAGATAGAAACATCAATGAGAGAACATCGATTGGCTGCCTTCTGCACGCCCCCCACTGGGGATTTAGCCTACAACCTGGGCATGTGCCCTGACCGGGAATCGAACTGGCGATCTCCTGGTGCATGGGTCAACAACGCTCAACCACTGAGCCACGCCGGCTGGACTGAAAACTTACATTTTAAAATTACCATATGATTGCCCTGGCTAGTTTGGCTCAGCGGTTGAGCGTTGGCCTGAAGACTAGATAGTCCCGGTTCGGTTCCCAATAGGGGCACGCACCACCAAAATAAATAAATAGACTTACCATATGATTAACATCACTCCACGCCACAAAATTTAGATCCAAAGCATCAGATCAGCAGGTTCCACTGTGTGTCTGGCACTGGATTTTAGCCTTATTTATTCTTTGTGTTACTTTGTTATACACAGTGTGGGGTCTGTGCCCGCCCCCGGAGAGCCACCACCCACATTTCTCTGACTACCTCCTTAAGTTTAAATACCTGCTCTGTCATCTCCTCGTCATGAACCTTGAGCAAGCTGCTACCCCTCCGGCTGTTTCTACTGCACTGGGGGTGTTGTGAGGGTGAGATGACTGGACACATGTGGAGACCTCAAACGGCGACCTGGACACAGGAAAGGCTCGAGTAAGGTCACCAGTGGTCACCATTAAGGAAAATGCTCAGGAGCAGAATCCATCAGGTCACAGAGTGTGCACTTCCCCCAACACTCCTGGCACCTAAGGCCAAAAGCCCCTACAGAGCAATGTCCTGGGGCATGTTCCGGGGCAATGCTGACAGCACCCACCTGCGTCCCCGCTTGGGTCTCTTTTTTTTAATCCTCACCAGAGGATATTTTTCTATTCTCTTCAGATAGAGTGGGGGGAAAGGGGAGGGGAAGGGAGAGAGAGAGAAATATCTATATGAGAGAGACACATCGACTGGTTGTCTCCTGCAAGACCCCGACCAGGGCCAGGGAGGAAGTGAAACCAAGGTAGATGCCCGTGACTGGAACTGAACCCGCGACTCTTTGGTTCGTGGGCCAACGCTCTAACCGCTGAGCAAAACTGGCCAGGGCTTGGGGTCACATTCAGAAAGGCAGCTGCCAGCCTCCTCCTGCTACTTAGTAGCTACGTGCTGTTCAGACATTACTGCCTTTCCGGGCTTTGGCTGCTGTACCTGCACCGCGGAGACCCCAAGATGAAGCTCCCCGGGGCACCGCAGAGAGGAAGCGAGGTGCGGACCTAACACACCGCGCAGTGTCTGGACGGGTGAGCGCTGAGGCCACAGCAGAAGCCCAAGCCCTGCTGGACGCTCTCCAGCGGCTTCACCCCACCTGCAGGCTCTCCCGCCGCCTCCCCTCCCCCGCCAGCAGCTGGCAGGGCTCCTGCCACCTGCTGGCCTGCACTTCCTGCTGCTCCAAACGCCCAACTCATCCCACCTCCACACCTTGCCTCTCCCGTCCTGCATTCAAATGCCCTCTCTCTCAGCCTCTCCTTCCTGGTCAGTTATTTATTCACAGGAATAAATTACCCCTCGATGCTGCAGTGTGGATTTCAGGGCAGCAGGGACATTCTCCTGCATGACTGCAATACAGCCATCAAAACAGGAAATCCATGGATGCATGAGGCCATCAGTCCACTGGCCCTATCTGCATTTTGCCAAGGGCCTCGGCAATGCCTTTACCGGCCCAGGACCCAGCATCCTCTCTACATGCAGTCCCAGCGCCCGGGTCTTGGCTTCCTTGGAAGGAGCAGGGCAGGTACAGCCTGGAATTCCCGCCGCGCCAGACAGTAAGGAGGCGCTCCAAGAATGCTGCGCACCGTAACAAGACAGGTGGCAGCTTGAATGGGTGCCACTGGCCCAAATGGGCACAACCGAAGCATCACAGTAAGCATTCCATAGACCAGAGGTCACCCTGAGAGTTAGAACAGGGCCCAGTGACAGGTCCTAAGTGGGGAAAGGGACTGCTCCTGTCACCACGGCAGCCTCTACTCCCCATGAACCTCGTATTCGTTATTTACTAATTAATGAGTCAAATAATTAACATTATAATTTTATATTCTTATACATATAATTGTACATAACTTTATATACAGAAACCCAGAAGACACCACCTTACACAAGTGGTCAAAGTTAAAGTAACATCACCAGGAATGGGACAAATCAAGGTCATAAACTTTCTTCCTTCCTTTTTTTATTTTTGTTAATCTTCACCCTGGGTTACTTTGTTTGTTTGTTTGTTTGTTTATTTATTTATTATCCTAACCCAAGGACAGTTTTTCATTTATCTTCAGATAGAGCGGGAGGGAGAGAGGGAGAAAGAGAGAGAGAGAAACATTGGTGTGAGAGAAACACAACGACTGGTTGCCACACACACGAGCCCAGTTGGGGCCGGGGACAAACTGCAACCAAGGTACGTGCCCTTAGCGGGAACCAAACCTGGGACTCTCTGGTCTGTAGGCCGACACTCTAACCACTGAGACAAACTGGCCAGGGCTCCACTGAATTTTTTAGAGAGAGTGGGAGGAAGGGGGGAGGAGGAGAGAGAGAGGGAGGAGGAAGAGAGAGAAGTAAGGAGGATAAAAAGAGAAAAGGAGGAGGGCGAGAGAAAGGGAGGAGGGAGAGAAGTAAGGAGAGGGAGAGAGGGAAGTAAGGAGGAGAGAGAGAGGGAAGTAAGGAGAAGGGAGAGAGGAAGGTAAGGAGGAGGGCGAGAGAAAGGGAGGAGGGAGAGAAGTAAGGAGAGGGAGAGAGGGAAGTAAGGAGAAGGGAGAGAGGAAGGTAAGGAGGAGGGAAAGAGGGAGGTAAGGAGGAGGGAGAGAGAAAGGGAGGAGGGAGAGAGAGAAACAGGGATATGTCCATTGATTGGTTGCCTCCTGCACATACCCTGGCCGAGGCCAGGGATCGAAACTGTAACCCAGGTATGTGTCCTGGACTGGGGATCAAACCCCAGACCCTCCAGTGCTCTGGCCAACGCTCTAACCAGTGACCCACACTGGCCAGGGCGAGGTCGTAGTTTTCTGAAACGGCCCCGAGAGGAACAGGACACTGCCTCTCTGGTGTTCCTGCCCCACATCCACAAATCCTGCAGGGGCGCCAGGCAGACCCACACTGAGGGCCGTCTGTGAGGGAACCAGCCTGGACCCACGGGCCGAAGGCCAGGAGCGCGTGGGAGGGAGACTGTCCTTTCAGGGGTCTGCCATCCACCCCGAGGGCCAGGTGTCTGGGTCGCTGCCGAGTCCAGTGCCTACATCGGTGTCTGGCTCAGAGCACGTGCTCAGTAAAGGTCTGTCGGATTCAGTTATTTTGGACAGACGGGGGCCCCTAACAGGCTCCATGCGGGGCTGGACAGCTCTGCCCAGGGGAGACTGGGTGCCCTCAAAGCCCAGCCCGCCTTCCGTGCAGACACAGTGAGGATCAAGAAGCAGGGTGGGAGTGTGATGGTGGGTCTGTGACGCTGGCTTCCTCTGCAAAGCCCCAGTAACTTTCCCTCTCACGAGTTCACAGATGCCCACAGCATCCGGTGGCAGAGATGGCAAAGGTTTCACTTTAGCTCCAATTTTGAATAAAGAGAAACAGAGAGGCCAGGATGCCTGTCCAAGGTCACACAGCAGAAGGGCTATTGTGGCAAAGTCCTCCAAAAGGGTGGAGTAACACCACTTGATGAGAGTCAGGGTGTCATCTTTGATCTGATTCAGAGGGCACTTCCAGACGCGTGCGTGTACGCGCACGCACACACACACACACACAGCCACACACCAGCTGGCTTCACAGGATGTGGGTGCTGCATTTCAGGGGAAACCATGGCACAGGGTGAGTGAGCAGAGGGCCTCCCTGAACATTGCAGGGAATGGAGGACAAAAGTGCAGATAAATAAGGAATTATAAAGAATAATTACCAAGTGATCCCAGTCAAGCATGTGGCAAGAAGAAACAATTTCAAGTTCAGACCCTCAGTCAGTCATGGGTTCCTGACCTGTTGGAGTTGGGAGGAGTCTCGGGTCGCTGCCTAGCTCAAGTGCCAACCTGGACAGGGGTGCCCTGCAAATACCCCATCTGACACGTTACTGTCCAGTGTCTGCTTGCACTCCTCCACAGACGGGGCGCTCATCCCCAGGTCATGGTTGAGCAGAGACTGACTATCAGAAACAGTTTCCTTATGTCGAGCCAAGGACCTGTGTAAATAAAATCCTGCTTGTCATGTACTCACATTGTGCTTGACACTTTGCTAAGTGCAGTAGAAACATTACCTTACAGAATATGCTCAAGAACCCTGCAAGATGGGTTATTCCCATTTTCCACCCAAGGGAACTAAGGCCAGAGAGATCAAATAACTTGCCCATCTGGTCCCATAGCTAATAAGAGGGCAGAGCTAGACCAGAACCCAGGTCTGTTGGCTTCTGAGCCCAAGGTACATTCCAATGTATCAACACCTGCAACTTCTTCACCCAGAACCACAGACGAACCCAACAAGATGAATGAAATGAGCCAGAAAAAGCTGGCCATCCTGCTTGTTCACTTCAAACATCGGTGCCCAAGCATAGGAGCAGAAAACCTGCCTGCGCAGCAGAAAAGACCAAGGATTTGTATCGTCTACAAACCCCCATGAGCCAAAAGTGAAGCAGCAACTGAAACAAACAAACAAACAAACAAACAAACAGAAAAGCCAACTAAGCCATATTAACAGAGATATGAGATCCAAGACAAGGGAGGTGACAGAGCCCGGCCACACCTGTTTCCACATGCCAATTTCCCTCTACACATTTAGTCATGTTAATTCACTCAATACTCAAAACAGCCCCATAAAGTAGGCACTATTATTTCCCCCATTTTCAGATGAGGAAACCAAGACACAGAGAGGTATTAGTGACTTGCCTGGGCTGCACAGCTGTGACAGTCCTGGGACACGAGCAGGGGCTGTCAGGCTCCAGAGCCTCAGCTCTCAACCTCTACCTCTGCCCACGAGCCAGAGTCCTTAATGTTCCGGGGACCACGGGCCCATCTGAACACCTGATGCAAACCCCAAACCCTCTTTCTAGAAAAGTGCAAACATTTAAGTTTGCATTCCATTTTAGGGGTTCACAGATCCCCTGGAGCCCAAGTCAAAGCCCCCCCCCCCCATCTAGGCAATGAGCAGATTCTGAGGGTCTTTGAACAGGGTTGTGGCAAGATTTTTCTCAACCCAGTGTGGGCTGAGAGAATACTGGGACAGGGGCCCTGGGCAGTCCGCAGTTGCTACAGACCTGAGTCACCCCGTCACTTCCCCATGCTGCAGACCTGAGTCACCCCAGCTCTTCTCCATGCTGCCGGCAGTCATTTTAAAATCAGAAACCAGGTCATGAACCGCCTGCTTCTGTCCTTCACTGGCCTCTGGCTCCCGAAGGGCCACAGATCCCCAGGGGTCATGGCCCAGCCAAGAGGAGCATCCCTAACACAGAATGCAGTCCACGCCCGGGAGTGAAAATGGCCCATCCTAAAGCACACCCTGCGTGCTCCATGTATGTAACATTCTTGAAATGACGGCATATGGAAGTAGAGACCAGATTAGGGCTGCCGGGGCTGGGGGGACAGGCAGGAAGGGTCGATGTGGCTATAAAAGGAAACGCAGAGAGGGACCCTGGTGAGGAT